CTGGAACGTGTCCAGAGGAGGGCAACCAAAATGGTCAAAGGCCTGGAAACGATGCCTTATGAGGAACGGCTAAGGGAGTTGGGCATGTTTAGCCTGGAGAAGAGGAGGTTAAGGGGTGATATGATAGCCATGTTCAAATATATAAAAGGATGTCACATAGAGGAGGGAGAAAGGTTGTTTTCTGCTGCTCCAGAGAAGCGGACACGGAGCAATGGATCCAAACTACAAGAAAGAAGATTCCACCTAAACATTAGGAAGAACTTCCTGACAGTAAGAGCTGTTTGACAGTGGAATTTGCTGCCAAGGAGTGTGGTGGAGTCTCCTTCTTTGGAGGTCTTTAAGCAGAGGCTTGACAACCATATGTCAGGAGTGCTCTGATGGTGTTTCCTGCTTGGCAGGGGGTTGGACTCGATGGCCCTTGTGGTCTCTTCCAACTCTATGATTCTATGATTCTATGAACCCAACTGCCAGTCAGAATAGATTAGTGCTGTGCCAAAGATTTATCTTGCATTTTCCCAGACCACTCTCCATAAATCATAAGAAAAGAAATTATGAGAGAGAAAAGCATGGTGAAATTCCCATGGATGGAGCTGTTTTGTGGGTCCTTTTGCTACCAACCTGAATGAGGTATCTCTCTTAACCGAGATCTGAAACAGGATCTGCAGCCACTTCCATAGTTGGCACCATATTGTTCACAATGTTGCCTTTGGTTTATGTTTTCTAATACTATTATCATGATTCACAGAATGACTATGGAGCTCATACTCAACAGCTACTTGCATAAAACACTGCATAGTTACTACTTTGGTTTTATATATGTTATAAACCTTTAAACTCACCAATGGATCTAATAAATGGGAATGGATACTTTTAAGTATGAGCATAGTATATTTTAAGTGCTACAGCTACAGCCATAGTGCTCTGGAATGAGAGAGAGAATCTTTGATAAATATTGCAATGTGCTAATGCTAAAATAGTTTGTGGTGATGATACTTCACAGAGCATTTTGTTCAGCTGCCTGGCTATCATCACAGATGGGTCTTAGCAGTCAGGGCACCATCATGCTGCCATTGGTTGAGTTCCTCTAACTGTTGTGGTCACAGAACATTTTCTACCTAAATAAATGCAAAAGTGGAATGTGCACAGTTCGACTTTCCCTCCTTCTTCTCACTCTATGCACCCTCTAAATCTGTTCTGGGAGTTCTTCCAAACCTCCAGAGCAGATTTGGGTATGGTGTAGGGTGCACATGGCAAGGAGAGGATTGGGAAGGGAAAATCTCATTGTGCAAGTGGAAGTCATTGCGTGGACAGATCCACGCAATGGATCCCCAGATCCCGAGTGGTCCCCCCCGTCATATGGAATAACGACTCCAGACAACGTGCTATGGGATTAAATTGGCCACAACTTCATTAAATTTCAAATGTGGGTAGACCTTGGCTCAGGCATTGGGCGTTCTCCCTCCCCAGTCCCCAGCCGGGGACCTAGGGAGCATCAGGGTTATCCAGTGTTTGTGTGGGGAATGGGCCGGCTCTGGAGAACATATGTTCAAGCAGAGATAGCTGCCCCCATTACACCGCCGCTGCAGGGGAGAGCAATGACGACCTTTCGGCGTATGCTCAAAGCTTCCCTTCAGAAACCCCTTTAACAGGGAACCCTGGTATCGCTGCTGCACAGAGGAAGATGGACAAAGGATTCCGCCCAAGGCCTGATACCGCCAAAGTTGTGACGTTTTGCTACGGGAAAGGCGAAACCTGCCAATGCAGGGAAATTCCTTTCCGGCCTTTTGACAGTGACCTTAACGTAGCAGCGCCCGCATACCTGTGAAGAAAAGTTAACCTGCAAAATAAGGCATTAACTGGGGGTGGGTAGGCTGGGAGAAGCTCTGGAGCCAAGTGAGGATTCCCAGGTAAGATCCTCCCTCTATTGTGTGGGCAGGTAATCCCTCCCCTACCTGGCCTGATCTCCTTGGCAACGCTTCCCCTAGGTGGGATTGGACAACTGACTGGGGTAGACGGAGACCTCCAGGTATCCCACCTGAGGGAAGGCAAAGCCAAGCCTATGCTGATGGAGCCGCTCCAGATCCAGGGGCCACGCGCGTCCACGCAAAGGTTGCCCCCGATTTTATGCGGGGAGCGGTCATTCTGCTCACACAATTATTTAATTGAAAACGACCTATGACAATCTGTGTTTTTCATTGCTGAGCTACTGTGACCCAAAATGGTGCAAGGCAGGAAGATCACAGGAAAGGAATGGAATCAGAAGCAGACAAGTGAGAAAGGAAGTTTGAAAGAGGAGCTGATCTAAACAAATCAGATGAAGAGAAGGTTATCACCAGCAGACGTTTGAGAGATGAAGGGACAAAGAGAAAAGGTGCACATGGGAGGTGCTGCAGAGGTGAAGAAGGATCAAATTCAAATATTTAGCACAGGCAGATAGAAAAAATTGAGTTCAGGGTTCTGGATTGTAATATACTAAGTGACGGATAATGAAGGTTCTTAATTGATTGTATTTGAAAGAGTAGAGCAGGCAGAGTTGTAGTGGCCCAAGGTCATGGGGGCTCAAATACCCATTAGTATTTCTGCAGCTGGGTCCCTGTCTCCAGCATAAAAAGTGAACTTTTTAACCACTGGGAAGAAGTTTTCTCAAAATATAAATTCCCATGTACATTATGGATAGTGTATCACTGGATTCTCCTGATACTGGATGGATCGGGATTACTCAAGTAGTGAGAGGAGAAGCAACATATAGGTAAAAGATCTGCAGTTAGAGGAAGCTGCAAAGACTCCAGGTACCCACAAAATTCAAATTAAGAAATCCTTCTGTGAAGCCAAAAAAATGTGACATTTTCTGTGCGAAGTGAGAATAGATAAGGAGAGATGGGTAATTTTGGCAAATAAAGGTTGGAAACCTGGTATGGGTTAATTGCAAGGTTTTTTTTTCTGCAGTGCATGGGAGTTGCTTTCTTTAAGAAGCAATTTATCTTCCCTGTTTGGTCTTTTGTCAGAGCAGAGAAGACTGCAGTATAAATAATTTGGCTAAATCAGGCTCAACCTGCTTGTAATACTTAGTTGCATAATTTTCTCTCCTGAGCATTTAGGAGGTTTTTAAAAATACAAAGTAGCCTTAGGTCTACAATTTGGTGGAGCTGCAGGAGGGTGCCTTTTTAATCCTGTCCCTTCCTGTTGTTTCTCTGTCAAATTTCAACCATCCCTGCCATCATCGAGGGGTTTCATATCCTTCCCCAGTGGATAAAGAAGCAGGTGGAAAAGGGAATTTTGATTGGAGAAAATGGCAGGAAGAGAAAGGATTAAGCTGCCCTTCCTACTGCTCTAGCTGCTCCTAACTATAGCTTCCAAGACAGCTTTTTTTTAAAAAAAAAAACACACCACACACACACCACCACTTTGGGGAAAACAGCTGTTTTCGTAGCACAATCCCAGTCCTATGATTACAGTCAGTGGCATAGGAGGAAGCGTTTGCACATACATAGCTGAACAGCTGGTTAAAGGAATTTGCTGGTGATTAATTTGCTACTGAACATTTTATTTAGAAGTACATGTCATTGCTATTCATAGGATCCAATAGGTGTTGATGCGGAATGGAGAACAACTTTCCTAGCGTTAGAAATATATAAGAAGGTGAGTAGTCGTCCTCGTATATTCAAGTAGTGCAAACTTCATAATTTAAAACAAGGGTGCAGAACTCCTTTTTGTTCCCTCATGCGCATCCGTTGGGGGAGGGGCCTTTGCTAGTGGTGGGTGTGGCCAGAGGCAAATATGGTTGGAGGAACAGATGAGACCTTCACCTTTGTGCACAGTAGGTGACATTCTAGCCATGGGAAAGCCATAGGTTTTTACACTTCCCTCACATACCTTGCTTCAGAGTTGCTGGGTTGCCCCCAAGATTGAGGGCAGAGGTATTGCATGTTGCGCACACATAAATGTGATGTCATTCTCATTGCGTGTTGCCCGCTAGAGCTGGTGCACCTGCCTTTCTCTCCTTTCAGAGAAGCAAAAGGCACAGATCAAGCACACATTCTAGCTAGCTCAAATAAGTCATAGAGCAGAGCCAGCAAAGTGGCCTGAGAAGTGGCCTGAGGACTAGGCAGAGGGGCTACATTCAGCCCATAACACAACAGTACCATAAGCCCATAAGTCAGAGGTTCCAAATCACTGACCTTCAAATCCAAGATTCTGTTCTCTCCCTTTGATACTTGCATTAGGATAAACTGTCCAGAAATTCCCATTTTCTCTGTGGGCAGCTTCTTTGTGCACATCACCACCATTTCTCGGTCAGAGATTCAACAAGTGCTGCTGTGTGTCAGGAAATCTGCACCACTTAAATTTGCAACTGCCTTGGCTACATACATGCCAGGCAAATAGTCTCTCAAGGGGGCAGGGGGAGGTGACCACCCTGGGAAGTGATTGAATTGGAGAAGGGAAGCTTTCTGGAAATAGGTACATTAAGCAGTTGAAGAAGATGACGCATATATACAGTCTGGTATATGATTTCACAGCATTGTCTATTATTGATTTATTTAGAAGTGCAGCCATATTTTTGAACTGTTCCTTAGACACTAGCTGATATATTACAGCATAAACATTCAGAGAAAATAGCCTTCTTTGTCAGGCAGGCCCCTATAACATAGGCCCCACACATGACCACACATATAGAAGAGGATATATCCATATCGGCATTGGCTCTCCATTATTCAGGATTTTCACTACTATTCATATATTCACTAATGAATACAAGAAAGCTAGCATGGCATAGTGGTTAGAGTGTTGGATTAGGGTCTGGGAGACCAGGGTTCAAATCCCCACTCATCCGTGGGTGGACCAGTCCCTTGCTCTCAGCCTAACCCATCCCACAGGGTTGCTGTGAGGATCACAGGGGAGGAGAAGTATGTAAACCACCTTGATCTCCTTGGAGGATAGGTGGGATACAAATGTAAAGCATCATCACCACCCTGAGGCTGGGGTCACTTGTTTGCATTAGGGGAAGTGCTGTAGCTCAGTGGTAGAGCAATGCTTTACATGTAGGAAAACTCAGGTTCAATCCCTGGCATCTCCATCCCAGCTAGGGCTGGGAGTGATGCCATGCGGGATCCTGGAGAGTTCCTGGCAGTCAGTGCAAACAGTCCTGAGCTGGGTGGACTGATTGTCTAGAGGTAGCTTTCTGTACTCCTACTATTTACTTGTTCTTGCTTTGTGCTTCTGATACACTTGAGTATCTTACAACTGTTGGAGGCTGGTCCATTGGGGCAAACTGAGAGCCAGTGTGGTGTAGTGGTTAAGAGCAATAGACTCGTAATCTGGTGAACCGGGTTCGCGTCTCTGCTCCTCCACATGCAGCTGCTGGGTGATCTTGGGCTAGTCACACTTCTTTGAAGTCTCTCAGCCCCACTCACCTCACAGAGTGTTTGTTGTGGGGGAGGAAGGGAAAGGAGAATGTTAGCCGCTTTGAGACTCCTTAGGTAAAGATAAAGTGGGATATCAAATCCAAACTCCTCCTCCTCCTCCTCCTCCTCCTCCTCCTCCTCCTCCTCCTCCTCTTCTTCAAACTGCCCCTCCAACTCCAGTTTTCCCTTAGCTAGTCCCCACTTGGCAAGCTTCTTACTTACAACCAGTCCAGGGAGTCACCCTGGCTGTCAGATTCCTCTTCCTTAGCCCCAGTGTTGCATTTGTAGAATGTAGCAGGCAGGAGGATGGGGACTAAACTAGTTAGTTTTCTCTGCATGTAATTGTGTCTGGCTGTACCTGTCATTGGCTCTGATACCAACTACCATTGATCTCCCTGCCTTCTGACTTACGAGTCCCAATAGGCACTAGCCACTACTGGCTGCAACAATATGTTTGGAACTGTGTGAGCCATTGTTGACCTTTCGTCATCAGCCCTTTTCCAGGCCTTGTGTAGCAGGGGAGACACACAGGTTGTTGTTTAATACATGACAATATCTACGAAGAGCCTTGTTAAGAAGCTGTGCAAAGAAGGCAATGTGTTGGACAATTTTTCTACCAGTTTACAATTCACGGTGAAAAGCCTTTTCTAGGCTATCTGCAGGCCTTTTTTTAAAATCTGCAACCATACAAAAAAAAAGTAGTTCTTGGGGTGGGGAGATGTACATTTTCAAAAGAACAGTTGTGCAGTTCAAAACAAAAGAAATGCAAAAGCTACTGCTGATGTAAAGCCACTCCCGACATAAGGAGGAGGGGGTTGCGGGCTCACGCCCCATCTACATCCTCGCAGGGCTGGCTGCAGCCCCGCGGGACTTGGGGAATCCCGGGATTCATTAGTATTCATCATTCACTGTGCCAGCCAATCGGCTGGAGGCAGGGGCGGGCTTAGTAGGGGGCATTTAAGGTCGGGGAAGGCCGTGCTCGCCTCTTTCTTTTCTTTCAGCAGCTGCGGTTTCCCACCCATCCACCCTCTAGGTTTTCATTTGGACTTTGCTATGGGCTTTGGCTTTGGTAGGAGTTTTTCCATTTGGCTAATTGGCTGTATTTTGGAAGCCACTTGGTTTCTTCGCCTACCTCGTAGCAAAACGTCACAACACCTTTGGTTTGGCGGTTAGGCACTGGCAGGGGTATTATTATGCAAATGAGTTGGGGGGAGGAACGCCATCACCTCCCCCAAATGTTGAAGGGTAGTTCATTAAAGGACTCCGGGGGGCGTCGCCTCGTCCGAAACCTATGGAGGCAAGGGCCTAAAGCGCGCTCCCGAGCGGTAACCCCTCGGGGAGCGCCTAGGGATGTGCATCTCGGGGGCTCCCCCTGTTGGTGCTTAACCCTTCCCGGTTTTATACCGGTTAGTCTGATAGGGCCAATGCCTAAAGCCAATACCGCTCTTACCTGTAATCAATAAAGTTGTGGCCATTTTTTGCCCATTAGCCTAAATTCTGGTGTCCTGTGTCTTTATTTATTCCACCTGTGGGAGGGGGCGGGAATTGCCACGCAAAAGATAGCAACATGAAAGGTGATGTGAGTTGTCTATATTCTACTGGATTTCTTAGCTTCTTTAGGAAATACAAAGTATAGACCACCCATGGTCATATCACAATGATAAAGTAAGTTCAAACCTGCACCCACCATAATTATATTTCAAAAGTCTAAATGCTGCCAAGAAAGAGGGATAAAATGGAAACCTATTTCCTTAGCAGAAGAATAGTTTCAAGAAATTGGAGGACAGGTTCTGACCCAGCAGCAGCTCCACTTGCCATCCCAGGATAGCAAAACCTAGGTGCTGCTATGATACGGGATGATGCAGATAACATTTGCTTTGATTTCTGGCTGTCCGGAGATAGATTTTTTAATTTATTTTATTTTTTGAGCGTCATTAGCAGCTCTGGAAGCAGCTGCTAGCTTCCAGAGCACAAACACTGCAAGCTGCAATTAACACTGTCCACAAGGGAAAGGTGAAAAGATAGCGGGGGTGGGGTGGGGAGTAGAGATACAATTGCGTAAGCTTAAAAAGAAGGGGAAAGTGTATGTAAGATGCTGATTCAGTCTTCCTGAGTATGAATCACTCATATTGTGTCACAAGAAAGAAAAGAAAAAAGCTGCAAACTTAGGAACAAAAACATAGAAAACTGCCTGATACTGAGTCAGACCATTGCTCTAAGTAGCTCAGTATTGTCTATAGTAAGGTTCTGTGGGGGATGACTTGGTTCTGCAGTGCAGTGCTATACATATTTACTCTAAAGTAAGCCTCACTCTGTTCAATGGAATGCTGCTCTTAGATATGTGTGCACAGGATTGCAGTCTCAATGACAGAGGCGACAATGCTAAACACATTGATTAAAAGGAAGCAAGTCTCATTGAATTCAGAGGTACTGACCTCTAAACAAAGATGCCCAAGATTGTGCTGTTAGTGTACTAGGACACAGTAGTAATGGCAGACCAAAGTATGAACTAGACCCGGGAACAGAAAATTCCTTTTGAAACCTGTGTGTGATACAGTTAATATACCCATGTGGTTTCTACATCGAGCTAATGTGTCCTAAGTAAACAGTCTCTTTTCCCCAGTAGCAAACATGTTGCTTTTCAGCTGATTGGGAAATGTAACATAAAGCAGGATGCCTTGGGAGCAGTGCGAAGGAAAGGGACCATTTAGCAAGGATTAAAAGGTCATGAACAGGGAGCCTCCATATTTTGTGGGACTCCAACTAACATTAGTCCCATCTGACACAGCCAATGGTCTAGGACACGGTTTCCCAAACTTGAGTCTTCATCTGTTTTTGTACTACAATTCCCATTATCCCTCACTAACAAGACCAGTGGTCAGGGATAATGGGAGCTGTAGTCCAACGACAGCTGGAGACTCACGTTTGGGAAACCCTGGGCTCGGATGATGAGAGTCCAATCCAGCATTTTTTATGATCCCGTCCCATGTTTTTATACTTCATACAAAGTGCAGAATTTGGGGCAAGAATGTGGGATTGGGATGCAAATGCAATTTAGGCTGGACTGGCTTGTCATGTGAGGCAAAATAAAAATAAAAATACTTATTTTGCTTGTTTTGAAAAAAATATTAATATTCTGCACTTCTTCAAAAGAAGCCAAAGCAGCTTACAAAAACTATGCTGCTGAATTGAAATGGTAAAATAATATCTAAATTAAACAAAATGGAAATAGAATAAAGCAGAAAAAACCCCTATCAAAAATAAAATTGCCGCATATTCTCAATGCAGCAGAGGAAACAGAGGAGCCCTGAGTCTGAGGAGCCAAATGCCTTCTTAAGAAGCCAGGTTTTCCCTTGGTACTTATCAATGCAATCCTTTGCCTACAGAAACATGTGACTCATTGAGTTCAGTGAGACTTCATCCCAGATAAGTGTGGGTAAGATTTCATCCTAAATAAAATAAAATAAAAGCTTGAAACCAGGTGGACCACCTTAAGAAGGGGCATTTCACAAGGTGGGCACTACAGCTGAAAAGACTGTGTTCCTTTGGGATGTCCACTGTAATTGCATCCTTCAGGATTTTCTGCACGTATTAAACATTTAAATGAAATAGGCCTCTCTAAAATGAAATTGTCATCAGCAGTTCACCACAGACCCTCTTCTGGGATGTGCCATAAATACTTGAGAACAGCTGATTTGTTTTTCCCCTTTTTAAATGAGGATTACATTTGAATATTTTTTTTTACTTATTTGCAGTCTGAACATATTTTTCCAGTAACAACAAATATGCCAGAATCTCTGGTTCTGTTGGATCCCAAACGGCCACACTGATACACCTCATAAAGGGTGTTGTCTGCTAGCTCCACATAATGCTTTCTACTGCCTTTTCTGGGTTGCAAATAGTTTCTCAGCATGACAGCCCAGAACATGGAAGATAGTATGATTATACATAAATCTGTCTCTTCCCTTTACAATCCATAGAGAAACCTCCAATAAAGGTTCATGTCAAGACCTGTATCTATTTTAAAGAGGAAAACTGGTGCAATATGCATGTGTTTTATACTGGGGTGTCTCCCTACAGTACTAAACATAGTAGAAGTGGTTCTCTGTAACCAGTAGTGACCTGCCACTGGTTTATTATGCTAAACTCTGAAGCAAAATATGATGAAAGTCAGCATCCCTTTTCACGTGTTTAGCACATGCTAATTCTGAACTGTGAGGACCACAAAGTTCTTAGAGCCTGGCCTATGTTACAGCCTAAGACTGGAACCCTCAGGCATAAGCAGCATATATACATGTCAGGGTGGGCGTTGGTTTGATCCTGTTATCCTCCATGTATTGAGAGAGAAAGAGAGAGAGGGGGTGGGAGGGTAGCAGGGGAAGATGACTTAGAATGGATTCCTGCCACATTCCCATGGTACATTGTTGCTCTCCAGAAAAGAAGCTTGACTAAATGCCAAGCTGGCTGGACAGGAAAGTCCATCTAGATGCTGTTGCAGGGTCAGAGAAGCAATCAGCAGAGCTGCACAATGCACTATTATTATTTTTCCCAGACATTCTTGTTTCAATTAAAGAAGTCGACCTTTAGAGTCCCCGTTCCAAAACAGGCAATTTAACAAACTTCCTTGTCTTTGCTCCTTTGCCACTTACATCGCATATGTCTCTGGGAGCTT